GAGAGACACAAAGAGGAAACGCAAAGATTAACCAGAGAATAGTTTGCCATGGCCAGAGGTCACCCAGTTTTCTCTTCTCAATCTGTACCTGTTAGCGATGTACAAATTCAGAAAACTATTCAAGGAAATAGTTGCAAAAAACAAGACATTGCAAAGTCATTCCTGTCCAAAACTGTCATTTCTTTTACATCATCAAGGGATCAATTAAAATGGCCTCTATTTGGTCAGAAAACAAAATTTATCCAGAGAATTTATTCCACATTGATTTGAAAAGAGGCGAGGAAATAACAAGGAAGGGAAAAATGCATCCTGAAATCAGAAAATGTTTTTGGGAGACCAAGGACAGAACCAACATCAGGAAAGCAAACTGGGTAATTAATCTGGAACAGCTGCTTTGACTTCCTATCAGCCAGACACTCTGAGCAAGATATTTCCACTGTGAGTGTTGGATCAAGGCAAGCTAACGCATGGCGTTTCAACAAAACACACTTAAAGTTTAAATGTTTATAAGACATTTACAAATGAGGAAAGAAATGTGGCAATTTATACTTGTTTATAAGAAGAAAAGTAGTTGGTGTTAGAGAATGTCATATGGCCATGCTAGTTGCAATATGGGAAGAAGGAGAGATCTGAAATAGAGGAAATGTGTTAGACACTTAAACGATGTGGGTAGATTTTAAGACTGCAAGAAAAGAACGTTGTACTGAGGATAAACTCATTGGGACATAATATTAATTATGCTAGCTTTAATTTGTTGACTATTTTAGGCACTGTTCACAGTACTTCAAGAAGGTTAACTTATTTAATCCTCAGAGATATCCTGTAAAGTACGTACCCTGTTTATCCCCATATTTTCAAGAGGAAATTGAGGCTTGGAAGTTATTGGATGTGTTTCAAGAATACATATACGTAGTTTAGCTAGGATTTAAACCCAGGCAACCTGATTCCAAAATTTACAGACGAAATCACAATTTTATCTTAACATGAATTTGAAACTAAATCTCAGAATATGTAAATGTTTTCCAGAATATATGTTTGGTTTGAGGCTGAGATATATGATACTATATTTATCTGGAACACGGGCAGGAAAAGAAGTGGAATAAACTTGTGAATACATAAAAAGGTTTGTAATGCATTTTCCTAAATACAAATACAAACACACACACACACACACACACACACACACACACACACACAATGTCCTATGCTAGTCTACCATAGTCTACCATAATTTGTCATTTCTTTGACAAATCCTTGGACTCTGAATTAGGTGCACAGTTTGTTAATGTGCCTTTATATAGAGAGAGAAGTTTAAATACTGAAAAAATGTCCGCAAGAGCCCCTTCAGGATAAGGAGTATAGATAGCATTTAAAGGAATTGAAATGATATGTTTAAATTTCTTAAGGGACATTGATTTCTTTCTTTGACATACTGGCTATGATTCCCTTGCTTTTCCTTATACAAACAATCTGAACTTGTACTCAACCAAACAATAGTATTATTATGACAGCGCATATTTGAATCAGTTAGTACTTTTTTCAGATAGAATATAGATATATGATTATACTTCTCAAATTCTGAATATGTTTTTTAATGAGTCATTATAAGCCATTATAAATCCTTTATAGCATATGATAAGACTGACAAATGGCTAAAATCCATCCCCAAATAACAGCTTTATTTCTACCTAATTATGCTTTAACTTTAAATGGCAATTAGTGTTTGGTGTTTGCATGAAAGCTAACTGATCCAACATATATGATTTTTTTTTTAATCTTGGTCATTTTGAGAAACAAAGGGCCAAAGTTCCCTTAGGAAAGACCCACAAACTCTTCTTTTTGTCTCTGGTCTCCACTCCTGATTGAGGAAAGGCTTATTAATCTTATCTCACTCATTGCTCCTGGAGAGAATGGCAATTAGCCAATGGAGGTTATCTAGTTAGAAAGGTGTTCAAGTCCAAGGGAGTGTCTCCTGATGCCATGAAAAGATGCCCCCTTCATTCTTTTCCTCAGAGAGAGATAAGGAAGCTCTGCCCTCTTTGCTCTACAACCTGACAGCCTTCAAGGCTATTTTCACATTGCACACTCAGATCACTCTAGTTCAAGTCCTTTAACTGTTTCACTACTTCTCAGGACACTCTCCAAGTCCTCTGGGGCTTCATGGACTGTGAACTTGGAGATAAAAGGATTCCTTTCAAAGCTGTTCTATGATTGCAAAGTAATCAATACAATTGTTCTGCAACTCATTCCCTCTCTCAAATGGGATAAGGCCATATAATTTCTTTGTAATCAAACTGATGGCGGAAATAGCCAATGCTGGGCTTTTATTGGCCAGTCCCAGCCCTACAGTAGCTCAGGACCACACATGCCTTGTGACATACCTCATAAAGGTCGATCATGACATTGCCTTCAGGGCCTCTGCTGCTCTGGACATTCTCCAAGGCCAGGGTGAAGTAGACACCTCGGGTGTCTGAGATGTAGAGGTTATATGTGTCATTTTGGTTCCATTCTTGGACCGCTGCAAACACTTGATTCTCATCTGTGCTGATGACATGCATGTCCTACAGCAAGACACAGAAAAGGGAAGAGGAAGAGTTTTTTAAATTAATCCAACATGCATCCAAAGAGTGTGAAACATAATGAGGAATACTGGAATGGGCACTTAAGGCAACTATAACAAAAGATGGAGATTTTCCTTTAGCATATTTGTGCACTAATAATTAGTTAGGTGTTTTTCATATATTTCCTTTCTCACTTATGGGGTTAAGTAGTAAGGTCATGAGACAATAGAACAGAGGGATGCTTGATAGTTCAGTTATAATTTAATTGCCTCATGAGATGATTTGAAAAATACTTTCTCAAATAGGTATGACTTCGTTCACTCTAATATATTTGCCAAGCAACTATATGCTATATGCTCAGACAACAAGGCATGTGATCAAAAGGCTTATGTGGGGCAAATGTGAGAAAAAGCTAAAAGGATAGAGAGAAAATAGACAAATCCAGCCTCTCTCAGTGTGGTCCAGGAACCAACAGCATGACAATACCTGCAAGCCTGTTAGACACACAGAACTTCAGGCCTCACTTACTGAATCAAAATCTACATTTTAATAAGATCCATGGGTGATTAATATGCACATTAAAGTTTGAGAAGCACTGTCCTAAGGCTCAGCAACCCCCAGAAGCCCTTGAGGAATAATATTCACCTGATAAAACCCCAAAGCACTAATCTTCATGTTAATGAGTGTTCAAGGATTTAGCTGCTTATCTAAACCTTCATTCTGAGAAGTTTTGCAGGAAACCTTAAGTAAAAGGGGGGAAAAAATAGTCTGCATAATTGATGATGTTTTCAGATCATGGTAGTCCTGGAAGATAGAAACAAGGCAAAGGTAATGCGTAGGCAGTGAACAGATATTCCTGGGGTGAGAATTCTAAATCCTTCTTCCCCCATTCAGAACTCCAGAGAAGTGGATGCTCTGAGCAAAGCTGACTCGGACCAAGGCTTGCTGTCTCACCCCAACTCTTGCCATCTTCTTTAGTAGATGCCTATTCATGTGCCCTTGGCAGCCTTTCACTCTTTGCCCAAGGTGACAGACATTAGTATAACTTCCAAAAACCAAAAATCAAATCAAAACAAAACAAAACAGAATTGCACATAAGCACAAAAGGAGAAGAAAAATATAGAGAGAATCTTGGCCTTTGTGTAGCTTAGTATTCACATCTTCCCAGATGGACCACTCTCTATCCTTGAAAAAACTTTAGGAGATTTTTCAGTCTTCCTTGGCTACAATTTCAGTGCTGAAAAATTCAACCTAACTTCTAATCCAAATTTCTCATATGCCCATGTTCTTTCAATCAATCGATTACCAATTCAGCTCTGACTGTACTGTAGACATATAGAAACAAGTCTTTCCCTCTCCTTTAGTGTTGATCAGTGTGAACTCGATCCCAGAAGGAAGAAGTCTATCTCAAGGGTTTTGTATACTTCACCTGTACTCAGGCTTCACATGCCATATTCTAGAGTTTGGTAACACTTTAATAGAAAGAATCCAGAATAGGGAGGCCAAAAAAGAATCCTGCCCATTAATTCAATGTGCTCAATAATGAAAACTAATTATAAAAGTTGGCCATTGCTTATATCAACCCAATGTCTATTTACGTTTCTTCTGATAATTTTATCTTGATTTTCTTTGAAAAAAATCCTTATCTTTCTCAGACAAATTTCTTCCTTTTACTTAATCTTTGTTACTCTGAGCACAGTAGTGCAGTTGTAGGTCTAGCATTCAGAATATTCAATTTCCCTGATGATAGCAGTTGGATCAGTGATGTATATACGACCAAAGCAAAGTCAAGAACACACGATTCTAGAATGAAGCTGGAATTGTTAGAGAGAAAGAAAAAAGCATCTCTTACTATTGATTTGTAAACAGTAAGAATTTTTAAAAATCTAAATCTGATGGAGACATATCTTGGAGGTACAGGATGAGGCCAATTCTGAAGAAAATAGTCTCAGAAGGTAAAGAACGATAGGCCAAATTCTGTGACATTCTTTAAATGTTTCAATGTAGACAGCTAGAAAGCCTGCTCCACCTGTAAATTTTTCAGATGGAGAGGACAGTAGAGTAAAATGGTTTAAAAACGGGTTTTAAGTAAAATTACGTGAGGCTAAATCTTAGTTCTATAACTTAGCTGTGCGAATTGAACTCTGTGCTTCAAGATTTATACCTGCAAAATAGAGATAATCATATGCACTCCATGGAGTTGGGAGAATTAAATCAGCCAGTGAATGTTAAGCACTTATGATAGTGCCTGGCACTTAGCATCTGCTCCATACATGCTAGTGATTTTTAGTTACGCAAGCCCTTAAATTCTCTTTGTTGATTAAGCAAGGTTGATTTGGCCTTTCTGTTCACTGAAAATGTTAGGGTGCTAACTAATATACTCAATGAAAATTGTTTAACTCAAGTGTTTTGTTTCTTTCTAATGGAGGGCATTAGCTGTGGAAATTATTGTGAGAGCCATTCAACAAAATATGGCAAACCTCCTCATTTCCTACAGGATAAAGATCAAAATTCGTAGCCGGGCATTTAGACTCCTTAAATAACTATTCCCAATTCATGTCAGCAAGATGTAGAATCATCCCTAATTTCAAGTTAAAATATTTTGTAATAACCTGGCCCCTGTAAAACTAATTCTTGTGCCTTTGGAGTAAATTTGTGTACTAGTGAATCTCTGAGATCTGGGTCACAATAGACACCTGATTAAATCTTACTGGTTAGAGTAGATCTTCTATACTAACTCAGCTTGCTCAAACCTTTCATATTTAGATGTAGAACTGAAAACATAGATGCATCAAGTGATTATATCATTTAGAGAACCAGCTGCATTGCAACAACAGATTAAAATGGCCACCTCTAGATAAGGACCAAGATCTGGTGCCTTTCTCTCCACATAATCTAAAATTAAATACGTCAAAAATGATGTTCATCTTGAACATTTTAATGGAAAGGTTTGCCATATTTAAACAACATCTTTTTTTTTTTCTTCTTGCCTACATCATCTTCTTCTCAAGGAAAATGTGCTCTTCCTTCCAAAGTGGTACTTTATGCTGAATGCATTTACTGAGCTACAAAATTTTAGACCAAAAAGTGATCTTTGAGGTCTACTAGAGTGTTTCCCATAGTCTGTTCCATAGGACACAAGCACTGTTAAAGTTTAATAGATTAAAAAATGTGTCCTTTGGTAAAATGTTTCGGTTAACGCTGAATTGTATAGCTTTCTTGCTCACAGGACATCCTAGAGACTTCAACAAACTAGCTAGTTATTTTTACTCTCTAGGCAAGAAACACAGACTAGAATTTATTTATTTTTTGGAAATTAGTTGATCATAGAACCAAACTTTCATGAAGCATCTCTAAGGACATTTAATTCTGAAAAATATTGTTATGAATCTAAGCTCCTTATTTTAAAATGTAAAAACCAAAACAAACAAAACACACACACACACACACACACACACAGAGAGAGAGAGAGAGAGAGAGAGAGAGAAACAAAACAGGGAAATAGAAATTGATAAACCAACCCAAGGTTTCGAAGCAGGTTGGCGACAGATATAGGTCTGGAATTCAGATCTCCTGCTGGGAATCAAGAAGCCTTTTCACCACACACCCCCCCAGTTCACATCGATCTTTTACCATCCAGACAACTAGATCCATACTAATAATAATATTACCTTGCTTTTATAGAGTATCTGTCCTCTGAAATGCTCAAAGCACTTTCATATGTATTGCCTCATTTATCTCACTTGAGTAGCTCAAAATGAGCTCCAAGTAAGTTAAGGGAAGGAAACTGTCACTATGTCTCCCTATCTGGCAGGCCTCATGCTCTTAATAGCAACAGCGATATTAAACTCTCCCCATCCCCCTCTCTGGTCATCTTTACCATTATATTAAATCTTCATTCTTTTTTTTTTCCTGACACAGCCCGGGTTAACTATAGTCTTTTAAGGGCTGATACAATGGCAGTGGACGATTAAAGAAAATTTAAGCATGAAAGTGCTGGTTCGTCTCGATTCCTTTGGCAGACATGAAACTTTGTTTTTTTCCAGCTGCAGCAGTCCTGGCTTTGATAGAGGACCATGAAATATCTGTACCTCACAGTAGATCACTCCGCCCAAGCTGGGGCTTCTCTTTGAAGGTGTAATGGGGCTGTAAAGAGGTATCCCATTGCCTTAAATAATAAACACTCACTCGGACAAATTAATACATTCATTTGCTCTTTGGGCTCCTATTTTTCTGGAGACAAGCTAAATGAATCACTGCAGTCTACCCTCAGACCTCAGATGAGGCTAAGTAATGGAACATGCTCATCTGAGAGAGCAGCGGGGAGAAGACAGACAGCTGATTTGAGTTTAAGTAAAACTTTTCCTCCTAGATTGGCTAGATGCCACTGGGGGCAACTGTCAACAGTGATGTGTGCAATGGCTCTGAACAAGTAATACAAAGTGTGTGTTTCCTAACGCTCCAGCAACAGGTCCAAAGATGTTTCTTTGATTTTAAACTTCTATTTCTAGGGCTCCAAGGTCAATGGGAATATTTTTCTTGATGCCCCTCAGATTTTCAAAATTTTGGAGGATATTGCTATCTTCTAATAATAGAAGCTATTGATTTATTCCAAGGGAAGAAAAATATTATATAAAGAATGCTAGTTTGAGTCAGGAGACTAAAGTCCTAGCCTCAATTCTGCTACAAATAGTATTTGGTTTGGCAGAGACTTATTCCACTCCAAAAGTATATTCCCAAGAGAGAGCATGAGATGAGTGACTTGATTCTGCTATTTACTAATTTGGCCTCAATTCTCACATGCCTCTTGAACAAGAGTATCTCACTGCATTGAGTATAATTCTTGTCTTTAAAGGTATAAATCTTGCAGTACAACTACTTCATTTGTTGGTCAATGAAAGAAACAGCAATTTATTTCAGTGCTTGAGGGAAAGAAAAACCAGCTCTGTTGGACTTACTGAGGTAACACATTCATCTCCCTCACGAGCCTTTCTAAGAGGTTATCAAGGGTAATTTTAACAATATTCAGTTTTCCTTTCACATACTGACTTTACTCAATTATCATCTAAGGCACAACTTCAAAGCCGTAAGTTCTTGTCTTTTTGGTAAACACTTTAAGCCAAATCAAGAGCAAGGAGGATTTAAATGTACACAGGCAGAGACATATAGTTCTGGGCAATTACCACTGTCATGAATCTCCTAGAAGCTGAAAATAATAAGTACTAACCTGCATATAGTTCTTCGGAGTTAATAGTGCAATTTAATGTGTGTTATTATCTCTAATGGGCTGAAGTTTATAGCCCACCTTTCACTATGTTAGGCTTAAGGGCAGACTGATGGCCAAGAAGGAGAATTTTGCCTGGAAAAGCCAGAATAGCTGGCTACCATTGGCTCTCCCGGAATAGGAGACCTGCAATGCTCTTGTGCTATACCTATCACATGATTTCCTGGGCAGCTAGCTGGGTTTGGTTCAAGACAACATACTACAAAGTCATGGATACAAGAGATAGAGTCATGAAAACTCAATCAAAACAAGTTCTTTATGTCCTTTGTATGATCCAAAAGTTTCAAAGTTGAGCTAGAACTATATTTAAGTCTACACAATCCTCTTCTTATAGCCACACACATCTCTGTTGCTCTAAGATCAAGCAATATAATACGTTAATAAGTTCTGACCACTTAAAATACACATAATGGCAGCAAGACCGCAAATCCACAGCTTTGAGTTCCCGAGTCAGTTTGACCTCCACTAGGTGGCGCTCCATATTAACATAGTTCTTCCATGCTTAGAGAAAGATAGCCCCGGACTTCAGCAGTTGAGGGTTTTTAATTTTTGTCTGCCACTATTTTCAAAGGAGTATGTCTTTGAGGCAGTCAAAAAAAAAAATTAGCTGTGTCTCAGAACTCTAAAGACAATCAGTCTCATAAGAAAGCAAGAAAGCAAAGGTTGGATACCATATAGTTGCATCATCTCTCAATAACTAATAACATCAACAAAAAAAGGGATGAAAACACATCATACTGAGACATTGTGTACCCAAAGCACATTTTCTGCCTTGCTGGAAAACCAATACATACTCCTTGAAAATTTTTACTATTAAAAAGTAAAAGCAAATCAGTTATCAACTTAATCAGATGTACTTATAGCAAGAATTTCAGAGAGAGAAAGAGAGAGATAGAGACAGAGAGAGAGAGAGGTTGCTGAGAGAGAAGGGACGGTGATGTGATAGACCAAAAATACAAAAGGCAAAATGAACTTGAGAAACAGATGGAGGAGGAAAAGAAATAAATTACTATGAGAGACTGAAAGTGTGCTTGGGAAAGAGAGTAGAGGTGGGAATACATCAATCAGAGGAAATACTGAAAGGAAGAAATTGATTCAGACCATACCTTGGGCAAAGCGTATTTGGGAAGCTTCATCTGGGCGAACGCATTCCTTCGGTAGGACACGTAATAATGTGGCCGTCCTCCTGATGTCAGCTGGATCATAAACACAAAGGTTGATAAGAAGAGTTACTATAACAGTTACGGGTCATAGAAGAACAGCCACTGAATGGAAGGGGGTGGCTGCCAACACAACAGCGTGAACAACTACTGTGGGCAAGTGTAAAGAATTGCCATTCAGTTCAAAAACAACTTAAATAGTGTATACGAGTTGGTCAGAAGCCAAAATTTAACCCACTGGACAAAAATACAATTCTTCAATTTGCACTGTGGCTCAGAAGCCAGGAAACATTTTCAGTTATTAATTGTTTTTAATGATACAAGCCTCAGAGTATATTGGATCGATGCCTATCCTGGGCCTGGTTATCTAGCCCAAAGACCACAGCCATACCAACCGGCCCCCATGCCATATCAGAAGGAAATGGTCCAGGTCACACAGTGGCAGAGCTGGAGTCTCACATCTCTGTGTACTGAATTCCAGTTTTCTGCTGTCACATTGATGGCTGTGAGCATGTTCCACATACAACAGTGCTGCTGACATTTTGATGGAAAGTCAGGCCAGGACCATGGTCCAAAATAATTCTAGATCTCTATCTCCCAGCAATGAATTGTAAGCTCCCTCCCCCAAGTTTATCTAGGACATACAGTCTAATGAACCCCAGATGCGTGAAGGAGGGCAAGAAGGGGTGTGGGCTCCACCTCAGCATGAGCACCATTCAGTGCAAAGTGTCAAGGGTCCCACCGCCAACCTCTCTGTCCTTTGTAGCCACTCGTTTTCCCCCCAGCTTTGTTGAGATATTATTGACATATACACATGTAAGTTTAAGTGTACAACGTGATGATTTGATACACATATATATTGCAAAATAATTACCATAAATAAGGTTAATTAACACCTCTATCCCTTCACTTAATTATGATTTTTTGGTGGGTAGTCATACCGTTTAAGATCCACTCTCTCAACAACTTTCAAGTATATAATACAATATTGTTATTTGCAGTCACCATGCTATATATTAGCTCCCCAGAACTTATTCATTTTATAGCTGTAAGTGTGTACCCTTTAAACATTTCCCTACCCCTGAGCCCCTGAAAACCACCATTCTACTATTCATTTCTACAAATTTGTGTACCTACTCTTAACCCATCTAAATTTCTGGAGTTTGAGTGTCAGCTAAAGTTTGCATACTCAGAATGTCAACATATGCTTTGAACGACTGTTCATCAAGACACATAAAAACATGACTGGCAAGTTATCATTATTTACCATTACATGGCAAGATCACTTTTTAGTCCTAGTGATGGGTTACAGGGCTGTGTTCATAGTGGCATGGGTAGAAAATACCCAAGACTCTAAATGAAGAATTAATTTTCATTTGTGAGTCATATATGTGAATTATAAATTATTATTAGAAAACAGAAAAGATTCTTGGAAGGAACACTGACAGAAAAATGAATTAGAGAGAGAACCAATGTAACCATTTCAGTATCACTTGATAATTGATGCTGAAGTTATCAGAGTATTCATTACTCATTTTCCTGAAGAAAAAGGAAATGTGTGTGTCTGTATGTGTGTGAATGTGTAATCATTTGTGAAACATTTTTAAAATACATAGCCTCATACTGAGCATTGTGAACATTTGCTTCCTCAAACCAAAGAATTAAATATTCTAAACTATGATTTCTTCTTAAATAAACATGATCGTGTCTAGAATGTGCCCCAATCATAGTGAAATTACACATACGTACATACTACTTAGCAATTGTACCTTTGTCTTTTTTAACATGGAGAGAAATAACTAAATTTTTAAATGCCTTGTCCAAATAAGCCTAAGATGTTCCTTACATGAAAAAATTGTAAAGTATACTTGTTTCTTGTCTCTTCTAACCACTCATGAAACTTCAGCTCTTCAAACTGTCTCCTACTCTCTTGGGAGGTGAAAACCCTGTCTGAATATATCTCTTCTAAACTCTCTTTATCTTAATCACAGTCAGTGCATGACAATAATGGCTGATTACTCATCACCTTTTCCCTGCCACAACCTTCAGCTACCCCATAGCTTCCTGTTTGCACCTGCTTCTCTATTTTTAAGGTGGCTATCATGGATGAGGCTGACTGGCTGACCATCCTCCTGAGAGGAAGAGACTGACATATCTGCTCAGTCCACCTGATGACAGAGGGGAGTTTCTTAGGGATGCAAACGAGGTGGAGGAATGGAACTGTGCGTCATCTGAAAACAATCTTAGTACTCTGATCCGTGTGCCTTCGTGAAGTCGTGATGCCCTGTTGATAAGGTCCTCCAGACACTGCCCAGAGGAACTCATTGATAGTCTGTTAATATGTAAGCTTCTACATTTGGTAATATTTCTTTTGTTGCAAAAAATAATGTGTGTGTGCGTGTGTGTGTGTGTTTTTCTCTCTCTCTCTCTTAAGGGAGAGGAAGCAGCAAATGGAGCTGCATTAGGGACAGAAATGGGAAAATGCCTTTGAGACAATCAAGAGAAGTGGATCTTTCATACCTGAACAAACACATAATCATCCTGGACAATCAAAGAATCTGGGTCAATGTAGCCTGGAAAAGGTTTATTTCTGTTGGCCTCTGTGCAGTTCTGCATTCGGCAAGTTAGGTACTGCGAATCTGGGGAGAAAAATTAGGGATGTGGAGAAATACACACAATGTTATTAGAGTCAGAGTGGACATTTTCTGTTACCCTTGCTACGTCAAGTCTTTAAATAAACCTCACATTCTTTGTTAACTACATTACTGTAATCATTATTATGTTAAAATTATAATCATTATTTTACTCACTTGCTATCAACACCATCACCACTATCTCCCAGTGCCTCTACCAACTCCTGCCATCCTAGAATACTAAATTCTTGTTAATTCATTTTTTTCTCTTCTAAACCCACATGAAAATATTTTCAAAAACTGGCAATAATAGTTGTACTTTCAGTGTTATTTTTTCTCAATAGCCTTCACCTTTGCACTTTGACTTTTGATTGACCAATAGGGAAAACACACACACATTGCAATCATCAATCATTTCATGCTAGAAATGCTGTTGTTATAAATAATAAGGTTCTATGTCAAGATAAAGGTTTCTTCCATTAATTAGAAGTATAACAATAGAGAGGGGATTCCTGAGTCAAAAACCTTGTTCTCATTTCAGAAATGAGTAAACAAACTAAGACCTGGATTTTCACTAGAGACTCTATAATAGAAGACGAATTTATAATAATAATTCTTAAATAAATCCTACTTCTGTTGCCGGAAGTATAGTGTATTAAGGAGGTTATCCTTATTTTTCAACCACAATTATTCTGGCCTCTCTACTCTTCAGATGTCACTTCCTTACTTAAAATCCTTTTCCCTCCTTGCATTTAGAATAAATTCAAACCCTCTACTCTCCGCTGCTCTAACCTCCCCTCTTGCTAATTTCTTCTTTCCTCCCTGTGATTCTTCTAATCTGGCCTACTTGATGTTCAGAGACTTAGCCAAACTTTCTACCTCTTTAGAAACTTTTCATTTGTGTTTCCTCTGCCTAAAATGCTTCTGCTCAGGTTGTTCTGAAAGAAGGTTTTAGATTTCCGCTCATTGTTACTTTTGAGGATCTTCAATGATTACTTTCTACCATACACCATCCTGTAAATTCCCTTCATGGAATGATTTACCTTCAAGTTAATTTATATAAAATTACCTTGTTCATTATTTATTTCCCACCCTCTCCCACCATTAGAATATAATCTCCATGAAGAGTTTGTTGTTCACTGCTGTACCCCTATGTTCTAATACTGTTCTTGGAACATAGGAGACAATAAATATTCATCGGAGCATGCCTCTTTACTGGAATGTATCTTTTTGAATGCAAAGGGAAGTTATTTTACTTTTTTTATGCTTCATAAGTGGTGGGTTTGATTTTAGGACATCAGAGATGTATGCAGAAATCTTCTCTTCCAAATTAAAAACTCAGGAGATAATTATTTACATGAAATGGGGATAGGCAATAGCATGTAGAGTTAGATATAAGGATTCACTAATTCCTCTTAAGGAAATTTCCAGGACCACTTTTACTTAAGGAACGTGTGTTTCCCTGCATTCTACCAGGAGAGTCACTAGGGGAGGGGTATGCACATTTGCTCCATCCGACCAATGGCTGATGTAGCTGCTGATAAGCTCTTAGGTGAATGAAGGAGGAAGGCTTTATCCGCAACCTTCCTCCATCTAGCTGACATGTGTAGGGATGACAAATGAGGATACAAGTACTTTGCCCATCTTGATCAGCTGAAAAACATGTTAATGCTAAACTAAAGGAAAGCTTTCTACTCACACTTCTCTATCTTTTTTTTTTTTCCCAAAAATTCTTATAGTTCAATTTTAGGGCATAACTCAAGATCTTTCTCCTTATAGACAACTTCTAGGACTTAACTTTTCTCAGAATGGTCCTCTTCATAGCACACAAAACCTTTACCTTGCAACTTCATAGTCCATCAGACACTTGTACGACTCTTAGTTGGCTTCTGTTTTTCAGAAAGTAGATTGGGGTCATAGAAACAATGAAGACTGGTGAGCATGAGACCTGGGCATGAGTTCTGGTGTGGTCACTTACTAACTGCATAGTTCAAAGGAAATCTTAGTCTTCCTTATTCTTGCCACCTTCATTCATTGAATCAAGATGCCAAGGTCGACCATCTTACAGTTTAGTTCTAAGAATTAAATGCAATCAATAACATATAGGCTAAATATTCTGAAACTCCAACTTGTATAAATGTCAGTTGTTATTATCAATACTGTTAACATTCCTGTTTTCCTTTGTTCTTTCATAATGATTAGATCAGTCTGGGGGACATAGTACGTGCTTAAGAAAACTGCTTAAACTGAATTTGGTACTCCAGTTATATTTCTGTATCACATACTGTTGGTGACCTGTCCAATCCCTAGACCTCCAGACCTCTTTGCTGAAAAGCCAATACTGTACCCATTGGCCCATCTTTCCTCCATGTAACTCAGAAGTTCCTGAATGCGAGGATCAACCTTATTGGGTCTACACCCACCCAAGGTCTTCTTATTTCCTTGCCATTGGTTGGTTTAGGCAAGGGCATTTAAACCCAGTTCTAATAAATGAGAAGTGAGGGAGCTCTTTTAAGGGGTTGCAGGAAGGTACAGGAGATATGGAATACTTTATTCTGCTTCTGTTCAGCACTGTGTCCCAACGTTATGCTTAGAACTGCTCTAATCTTCTTGTCACACAAAGGAGCCATTCTTACAGTTAAGCTTACATAACAAGTATGACAAAAAGATAGGAAGGATCTCTTCTCTAATGACATCATCGAGCTACTGATTATACTGAGCTTACAGCTGCCCTTTCTCTGTGCTTCTCGTTATGTGAGATAATTAATAAAAAACAATGATTAACCAAACTGAATCAAAAGTTTCTTGATTAAAAACTCTTGGGATTCAAATTACAAATTCAACTTCCAATTAGAATTTCTAAGACTGCCATCTAATGAAGGCTTTTTAATGGATACACAGTGCTTGTTTTATTTGCAATGGGGTCTGAGTTTCTTTTGTAAGACCTCAACGTCCTTTTCAAAAGCCCCTGAACAAGCATAATATGGAAAATATAAAAATAAACTTTTAATATTTATAACAATTATAAAGAAATTATAAATATGAGAGATTTGGGGTCAATTTAAAAACACAGGAAAACTAACATTTGTTGATCATCTATGTGCTTGGTACTCTGAAGTATGTTCACATTTATTTAATACATTTTATATTCACAACACTATAAAGTAAAATATATCAATTGATTTTGTAGATAAAGAGAATAAAGCTCAAGGAGATGGTGAGTTATAGAAATGGCAGTATGGGGTTTCAAACCTGGTTGGCCTGACTCCAAGTCTGGTTTATTTCCACTACACTACGTTGCACGAAAAATCCTAGCAAGTTTGGGGTCCATCGATTAGTATATTTTGGCTTCCATCTAAGCATCAGTGGATACACTCAGATACAAAACAAACAAACAAAAAAACTCTGCAACATTTATATTTTTTGTGGGGTAATTTTGCAATATGAATCAATATCCTTTAAAACATCTTCTGAACTCAATTTCATTTCTAAGAATTCTACTTGAGAAAATAATCAATGATCTATGCAAAGATTTAGCTACTTCAATGCTCCTCAGAGTGTTGTTTATAGTTTTAAAAAATAAGAGAAAACAAAATGGCCAACAATAGAGGAATATAAATAAACAGTGGAACATGCACAGTTTACTATTAAAATCCTGCTCCTAAGGAATACATGACAATTTACAGAAATGCTTAATATGTTTTATATTATAAAGATAGGTTACCAATTAATAATGTTGTATCAATGTCAATTTTTTAATTTTGAAAAATGCACCACGGTTGTATGAGGTGCTAACATAAGAGGAAGCTGAGAAAAGCTGTAGTGTCTTGGTAACTTTTCCATTTATTTAAAATTATTCCAAAATAAAGAGTTTTTTAAAAGTAGGTTACCAAAATATGTACATATGGACTCAATTTTGTGTCAGGGATATATATAGATATCTGTATATGTATGTTTGCACAGAAAAAGTGAATACAAGATATATATGAGATACATGAGATGTCAACAATAGTACAGAGGCAGTGATGTGAGAAAGGCAGACAATCTGTGTGCAAATCTCTGGTCAGTACCTCTTAATTGAGTTGGGTATGGGGTGGAGGTGGGCTTGGGAGATCCATCTCATGATAATTAGAAAATCCTCTCAAATTCCTCTGCTTGTCCTATCTACTTCCACTCCCATGCCACATGAGCCTGTCCTTGGGCTGAGAATTACCAAATGTACAACTGGGTGACACAAGAAAGACCCCAGGAAGAAATCTGGAAAGCATTTCTTGCTCAGAGTGGTTCAAAGTGAAATTTCAAGTGGAAAGGAAATGATCAGTTTTGAGCTGCCTGCCCTTGGTAAAGTGCTCCTGGTTTGTTCCCTTTCCCTTCCTCATGGCAACAGAAAGAAATTGGCTGCGCTTCATAATGAGGGACCAATCACTCATTCCCCTCAGGGCTTGCTGTAACAGCATTAAGTATGATGAACTCTTTCCATATTCATTTCTGGTGAGCGTATGATGCGATTCCATAGGAAGCATCTTGTAATTTGGCATTGATTAATGTCAATTAATATATGCAACTGTTAGACGTTAGAATTAATTTCATTACTTTTCCCACACAGATGTTTTCCTTGCCATAGGTAATGAGGGCACTGTGCTCTCTTTGCAAGCATTCTCACTTTTCTGCAACAGCTGCTGCTTGGAATAATGGACTCTCCATCCTCCCCAACCTGTGATGATCTAGAGAAAGGAAGCTGCCTTTAAAAGGCCAGGATTTGAGCAGAGGTACGAGGGTTTAACTGCAAGACCAAGGCCTGCTTGCTTGGTAAACTCAAGCCCTCACCTGACCTCTTTAAACTCTGATCTGTAAAGCGAGAAAAAAGGAGAGCCATCTTGCCAGCAGCAGTGATGACTGAAGATCTCAGTCGTGAAATGTGTTCAGTCTAGTGCCTGACTGGACCGTGTTCAAATAATGGTGGCTCTAGTTGTCATTAAAGTCCTCCCTCCTTGATCACCAGGGCT